GGCACTCTTTCTAATATAAGCATTGCATTGCATTCTCTGTATAAGGTTTATGACACTTGGTTTGATTAGCAATTGTTTTTATTTATGTGCACCCGAGTTCAAACCAGTTTCCATCTTGCTACCTTAGTTCTTTTAAAGCATGTTGCCAGGCACAAAATAGCGCCAAACATTATTGAAACATTTTTTAAAAAAATTCCAAAACACTTTGTTCGATCCGCACAATTGTTTTAGGTTTATTCTGATCAATATTCGAATATGACATGTTCGATCCCGCAGAACGATATGAAAAAGTATTTTAAGGGGTATGTTTATTGTAAATCTTTTTTATTTAATGGTTATTTAAGGATGACACCACATGCATCTCTTTCTTCAATTCTTTCTTTTTAATTTACAAGCTGATTATTCTTTGAAAGCCCTAGCTCCATAATTTTGACATTTCTAATTAAGATCTATCAATTTTCGAATATTTAACTTACTATATTTATATGAACGCAAGGGCGGATTTAGGATTTCATCTAGAGGGGGGGGGGGGTGCAAACGATAGTTGGGGCTGGTAATTTTTCAACCTCAGTGGAACTTCTAGAATTTATTCTATTATTGCTCTTTAAATCCATTGTGTTATATCTGGTCAATGTCAGCTTGAAAATGGAAAATGCTCAGAGATCCTCGGAAAGGAAATATTTTATTATACGAGAACAAAATAAGTACGTGGCAATTATAATTATCTAGTGTAATAATATTAAAGAATAAAATATAATAAACTTCATTGCTCTGTTAACTGAAAAAAAAAAACATTCTGAGGGACCCTAAGACATATCTCAGTCCTTTCCACACAAAACAATGTCTTTGATGGCGAAAACGAGCATGAGACCGAAAAATTCACAATATCGTATAGACGCTAGACGAGACCAAGAAGGATAGTCTATAAACCATTTATATAGATCGCGTCTTGAGACCGTCTCCAGACTGCCAATAGGCAGGGGTCTACTAGTGTGTACTAAGCTTAAGGATTAAGACTCTGAACTGCTCATTAAACAAATCAAGTAATTGGTGCAAATACTGTCACAATCAAGCACTTCTATCAGCAGGTGATAAATATATCAATAGATATACTCAATTATTCTTTGAAATTCAATATAGATGTTACAGTTATTCTTCAGACTTTCGTTGTCGTGCTTAGATTTATGGCATAGTTGTTGTTTTCTCAGATTTCGAATCGGTGTTGATCGCATAGAAAAATGTTGAAAATCTTTGGAAAAACTATGTGTTAGATCGTAATTATTTTTGTAATGTATGTTTGTACAAAACAAGTACAAGAATACAGGGCTGACAATATTCACGTGTCGTGGAGAAGCTCTGTGATTTAAACAAATTCAATATAGCAACATAAATAGGCACATACGCGGGAATAAATGCGGGACGTGTAGTATTTATTGACTTTGAGCATCGATCGACGCAGTTTCTGGACAGGCCACAGGCGCACCGCTAAACAAATTCCCTGCGACACCAACCCCTAACAAAATTTGTCAAGCTTTACACACTTTTCAAATTACTATTGAGCAACAAACAGAACATAAATCACTTTTTAAGTGCAATCTGTATAGCTAATATATTAGACGGACTTTTTTGTCACAAGTCACAATACTCGAATATACGTATAAATCGTAAGAATTATGCTGTAAACGTAAGTGATGTCAAAGGAGGACAGCGTTTGGTATATCAAAGGATACCAAAAAATCGCAATCCTCAGTTCCTATAGCTATAACTTATAGTTAGTATGCCTTTGTCGCAATGATGTGTCAGAAAGTAACACAATAGTGTTGAATTACAAAAGCACGTGTCAGACGTCTAGAGGGGGACGCGCGCCCCCTGCGCCTCCCCCCCCCTAGATCCGCCACTGTATGAACGCAGGGTCACAACACTTGCATTCACAACAAAAACAAATAATCATAACTAGGATTCAACTGTTTGATTTTATTGTGAGCGCCATGTGTTTTATTATAGATTCGAAGTAGGAAGTGAGGACACCATGCGTTCTTACGAAAATTGTAAATTAAATAATCCCTCATTATGCTTCTCTGGCTCGAACCACCTACGTTTAAACATTTCTCTTTATGGTACGACGTTTGTATTCCAATAGTGACCTTCTTCAAGTAAACTTGACAGGTTACCTGACAGTCTAGAATGTACCCGACACCCTATTCCCGAAAACGCCAAAAGTCCTTCGACATCTAAAGGGAACCATGTTATTTGTCTTGTGAGGAAATAACATAAGACATAACAGTTGGTCAAGTGATATCCAATAACAAACCATAGGAAAAAACCTAGATAAAAAACTCATAGTCCATTATTTAGGTTGGAGAATATCAGTTGTATCTTTCCTTCAAGGATACCCAATCAAATTGGGTCTCAGTCCACAGAAAAACTGGAAAGACAATTGCTTAATTTCATATACGCTGAATCCTTTACCTTCCATTTGTAATTGTTATCCTTTTTCAGTGGTATTGAGACTTCCTCCTATTTTACCAAGTTTAACATATGCTCGCTTATTGCTGATTTTGAGGTTTCTTCCTTTGTTGTACAGCAATGTTCTTTATTTCTACATTTAACATATCCTGATATTTCACCGATTTAGCATTTACCGCAGTCACAATCTATTTTATATACTAAGTGACATATAAATCCGAACACCCAGTTTAAATGGTTTTATTTTAATAAAATGAAGCATAATAAGTAAAAGATAAAAATTTCAAAACGATTGCACTGCTTTAAAGCCCTTTGACCTTTAATAATGTGTGGATGCGCCCTGATGTGCTACGCATTCTCCAACGCGCCTAGGCATGCTTCTGATCAGGTGGTTAATGTCCTCCTGTGGTATCTCATTCCAGACAACCAACAACTCCTCTCGTGCTTCTAGAGTCTGAGGAGGACGTTGCAAATTGAGCAATCTCCTACCGATCATATCCCACACGTGCTCAATTGGGGATAAGTCGGGAGATCTTGGTGGCCATGGTAACAATGTGACATCATTATGTTGAAAGAAGTCTATTGTGACTCTTGCAACATGTGGTCGGGCATTATCTTATTGGAAAGTTGGATCTGCCAGGGTGTCAAGATAGGGTAAAAGATGGGGTTCTAGAACTTCGTGGATATAACGCTGCGCGTTCATGTTACCTCTGATGAAGATTAAAGGTGTCCTGGAACTATAAGCTATAGCACCCCAAACCATAACTCCAACAGTGTGATGAACATGTCTTTCAACAAAAAACTGTGGATTCCTCCTTTCACCACGTCGCCTTCTAACCCTGGCACGACCATCGTGCATGCCTAAACAAAATCGAGACTCGTCACTAAAGACAATACTGTTCCATTCCTGATCAAAAAGTGACCGTTGTCTGCACCACTCAAGGCGATTACGTCGGTGTTCTCGAGTTAAAGGGAGGACCCAGTGTGGCCGGTATGAAAACAAGCCAAAACTTCTCGTTCGTCGGTAAACACTTCGCATGCCAATAGGTCTTCCGTGTTCTGCAAACCATTCATTTGCAATGGACCTGGTAGTGGAGAAACGGTCCCTTAAGGTCAATAATCTTAGGCGGTGATCTTCACGGTCTGTTGTTCTACGGCGGCGTCCAGTGCCCCTTGCTCTTTGCGTACGGCCTTCTCGAAGCCATGCCTGACAACACCTAACCACAGCGTCTACACTTCTTTGCACTCTAACTGCAATTGTCCGAAAAGAAAGTCCAGCTTCCCGAAGTCCCACTATACGGTCCCTATCAAGCTCACTAAGTTGACGTCAAGAACCAAAATCCGCCAACGTTGATTCTTTACTGCGGCTGAAAGATTTATTTTTAGAGCGTTAGTGAATTAAAAAAAAGCAGTATAAAAACCGGAATGTCCAACTGATAAGGCTGAAAATTTTTTCACTTGTTATTTACAGTAAGATAAATACATTCACCAACTTTTATTAAAATAAAACCATTTAAACTGGGTGTTCGGATTTATATGTCACTTAGTAGATATATATTGAATTTTTTGTGTCTATATTTTCATTAGTAGGTTTTGTATGGCTCAGTAGTGTGCAAGTTGTTTCGACGTCAGTTGTGATATTAAACTTCTGGTAATAGATAAACTATTGTGGTAGAATATTCAAATAAGTCACCGTTTGAAGGTGATGCATGTTGCAAAATCTCATTTTTTTCTGTTGATAAAAAGAAATACTGCAAGGTGCGGCTGACTTTCCTATTCAATCATGTTTTAACAACATTAGTCATGATTCATAATTATGAATAAGTGTAGATAAAATGTTTTATTTTATAATTCCCGAACGCGTAACGGAAATCACGTACGAATGGTAGATTTTATCATTTAAAAACACAACGATATCAAGTGGGCAACCATTGCCACATTTTACTTCGCACGCCAGCGGCGAGGAAGTATTGTAATAGCAAAAAATTCGAAAATGGGGTATTACGTTTTTTGGATCTTATATAAGTAATAATAATAACAGCGCTTTATTTCGTACAAAAGTACAAAAAAAGGCGCAGTGTCCCTAAGAGTAACGTTTTTCAACTTAACCTAGTACTGCTCGGATTTTAATGAAATTTTGAAACACGGTTACGAATATGTGTAGGACAAAAAAGATTTGTTCGTTTTTGAAAATCGATCTGAGCTACAGGCAAAAAATAAAAACGCTCAAACTTCATTTTTTGTCGTTTCAGATTTCAGAAAAAAATTGTAGGGTTTAAAAATGCGGGTTGAGCATCGTAGGCGGTGGAGGGGTATATATATATATATATATATATATATATATAACAAAAATAGGAAAATAATGGGCAAAATCCGCAAAAAGTGGATTTGAGCAGAATAGGATAGGTAACCCGAGCGATACGTATTTCTGCTGGTTGGCTTCATCAGGCCCGAAATGAATCCACATATGCAACTACAAAAGTAGAGACACATGCCCATACATCCGGATACGGGTGTAACCTGAGGAAACAAAGATGGAGAGGAAAAAAAAAAGAAGACACACGAAGTCCACAACAAGAGCCAACCTACACATTGTAGTATCAAATGGCTAGAAGACCTAGAATTATCAAGGCGACAATTTTTTTTCCTCTCCATCTTTGTTTCCTCAGGTTACACCCGTATCCGGATATATGGGCATGTGTCTCTACTTTTGTAGTTGCATATGTGCATTCATTTCGGGCCTGATGAAGCCAACCAGCAGAAATACGTATCGCTCGGGTTACCTATCCTATTCTGCTCAAATCCACTTTTTGCTGATTTTGCCCATTATTTTCCTATTTTTGTTATATACCTTTCTCCGCATGCTAATTTACTCTTTATATATATATATATATATATTGATTTTATATTTATTTACTCATATTGTTTGGTATCTTTGTACATTGAGTGAATAAATATTATATTATTATTATTATATCTCATTCTTTTAGCGTTAGTATTATTATTCGTTTCCAACCTCGGTATTCTACGCACCTATTAGACATATACTAAGTGACATATAATAATAATAATAATAATATTTATTCACTCAATGTACAAAGATAACAAACAATATGAGTAAATAAATATAAAATCAAAACAGGCCCAATAGAAGGCATCGCCTGTACATGGACCAATAATTCAAGTTGAAACTGTAGAATGCAAATGACAAAAAAGGACAAAAATTAGCTACAGTACAGTATATTCAGATAAGAGATAGACCGGATGTAAACAAAAGGTTCGGGTGATTCTCACGCTAACGCCGCCGTCTCGACGTAAAACAGGAGCCCTCATTGGTCAATTCGCAATTAAATGCCTATGCCGAACACCCAGTTTAAATGGTTTTATTTTAATAAAAGTTGGTGAATGTATTTATCTTACTGTAAATAACAAGTGAAAAAATTTTCAGCCTTATCAGTTGGACATTCCGGTTTTATACTGCTTTTTTTTAATTCACTAACGCTCTAAAAATGAATATTTCAGCCGCAGTAAAGAATCAACGTTGGCGGATTTTGGTTCTTGACATCCTTTACGATCGGTTACGATGCCTAGAGTACGGAGACCTGTACGATTTCGTCAACTTAGTGCGTTTGATAGGGGCCGTATAGTGGGACTTCGGGAAGCTGGACTTTCTTTTCGGGCAATTGCAGTTAGAGTGCAAAGAAGTGTAGACACTGTGGTTAGGTGTTGTCAGGCATGGCTTCGAGAAGGCCGTACGCAAAGAGCAAGGGGCACTGGACGCCGCCGTAGAACAACATACCGTGAAGATCGCCGCCTAAGATTATTGGCCTTAAGGGACCGTTTCTCCACTACCAGGTCCATTGCAAATGAATGGTTTGCAGAACACGGAAGACCTATTGGCATGCGAAGTGTTTACCGACGAATGAGAAGTTTTGGCTTGTTTTCATACCGGCCACACTGGGTTCCTCCCTTTAACTCGAGAACACCGACGTAATCGCCTTATGGTTACAGGTCACCTTTAATCTTCATCAGAGGTAACATGAACGCGCAGCGTTATATCCACGAAGTTCTAGAACCCCATCTTTTACCCTATCGTGGCACCCTGGCAGATCCAACTTTCCAACAAGATAATGCCCGACCACATGTTGCAAGAGTCACAATAGACTTCTTTCAACATAATGATGTCACATTGTTACCATGGCCACCAAGATCTCCCGACTTATCCCCAATTGAGCACGTGTGGGATATGATGGGTAGGAGATTGGTCAATTTGCAACGTCCTCCTCAGACTCTAGAAGCACTTCGAGAGGAGTTGGTGGTTGCCTGGAATGAGATACCACAGGAGGACATTGACCACCTGATCAGAAGCATGCCTAGGCGCGTTGGAGAATGCGTAGCACATCAGGGTGCATCCACACATTATTATAGGTCAAAGGGCTTTAAAGCAGTGCAATCATTTTGAAATTTTTATCATTTACTTATTATGCTTCATTAAGTACTTATACACAATTTTATTAAAATAAAACCACTTAAACTGGGTGTTCGGATTTATATGTCACTTAGTATATTTCGTACATCATAGATTTCCACGTACGTTTATCCTTAAAAATTAGAATGATAAGGAAATATTTCCAACTCATGCATCGCATGCAATGCAAAATAGGTGTACCTGCTTCGAGGTCTGAATGTAGCCAGATAATCGATACTGTCAGTAGGGCGGGGGAGAAATTTCTAGATCACAAAGTTGTCGTCATTGGTCAGTGTGAGATAACTCCTATCAACAGCAAGTTTTACTTCTTTTCTGATAATATTACTTATACTGTCCTCTCATATCTAAAGGATGGGACATCAGGTTTCTTAAGTTGGTATTGTTTTAACAGTTGGTAACACTTCCATGCTCAAAATATTGACAGATATATTGTGTCAAACTTCCGCTATGAGCAATGGATCGTTTTAATCTTAAACAAAGGTGGGAAATATTGAAAAACTATTTTTAAAGTGAGTGATGTGTTGCAGAAACTTTGCGCAAATTGAGAAGACTATTTGGTCGGAATGAAGATCCGTCCGCGACTGGTATACGAATACGAAGATTCGTGAAAAAGGTTCGTGCTTGTGGATAACAGAAGGTATGAGCAACTTGTGCAAGAGTTGAAACAAAATGACGATCCGCTTCGATATCGTTTCTCTGTGTGGGCTCTAAATCAATTGGAAACGGACGTCAATTTTGGTCGCCAAATCATCTTTTCGGACGAAGCCCATTGTCGTCTGGGAGGTTACGTTAACAAGCAGAACTGTAGAATTTGGGGTTCTAAAAATCCACATGTCATAGAAAAACCAATGCATCCAAAAAGAGTAACTGTTTGGTGTGGCTTTTGGAGTGGTGGGATTATTGGGTCCCTACTTTTTTCAAGATGGTAACAGCGTGACGGTAAACGGGGAACGCTTTAAAGACATGTTAAGGAGTTTCTTGAGGACACTATTAGACGACATGCACTTGCACAATCTCTGGTTCCAGCAGGATGGCGCAAGATGCCACACCATGCGTGAAACAATCGATCTTTTACACACTAAGTTCGGTCATCGCGTTATCAGCCGTTTTGGAGACGTTCGTTGGCCAGCCCGCAGCTGTGATTTGGCGCCCATGGATTACTTCCTTTCGGGTACTGTTATGGCCCGCCTTTACACTAACGATACTCAAACAATTGATGTTCTTAAGGAAAATATCCGTCGAGCTATTGATGAAATAGACCCATAAACTATCGAAAATGTGCTTCAAAATTGGGTTAACGCCTTCTGGGGCTTCATTGAGCTCCGGGGCCCGACGCACAGTGCGTCATGATCCTCACTATGAGTCTCTCAGAAATCAGTAAAAAAAACAGTGCTGGAATGTGCTTGATGTTCTACACTTTAGCATTGTTCTTATCCAATTCTCAATATGAGTTTATAGCGTTTCAGTTAATGTAGACAACAATTGTTTAGTGAATTAGATTCCTGTGTTTTGTGTTGTCTTCCCTAAACAAAGTATAGAACATTCATCTGATCTAGTTGATAATAATAAATATGAAGTATGAAGAAAGTAAGATGTTTGTGTGTGATCCTTTTAGTTAAGTTTGTTATGGAGTCATTTGCTATGCAATAAACACTAAACAACATATTTTAGGAATTGACAATTAGGAGTACGTTTTTACACACAATTACATTATGGGTGTCATTATTTTGCAATAAACTATACATTAAAGGATAAAACCCAAGATATGGAAATAACAGCTAGTTTTCTGGGAAAGAGTAAGTGCTTCTACCTGAACCTAATGCGGGTGGTTGGGTCATGAGAGCAAAATTACAATATTTCATTGCAAAACCTATCTTTCAGGTAGTACACGCACATTGGCAGCAGCTCCACTGTGGAGGAATGACCATTACAGGGCAATTACTTTTTGTCGACACGCTAACGAAAGTAGAAAGTTGCCACTACCGCTTAAGCCGTTGCGAATACAACAGGTTTGATATTTCAGAATTCACATGAGGCAAGCAAAAAGAAGCAATTCATGTTGCAGAAGATAATTATCTGGAGAAATTCAGGTCCACTGAATTGAATTTTAATTTTTCAGGAGACAATAAAAAGTGTGTCACTGACAAACCAGTTTTACAGAACTTTTTGGGCTTAATATAGTATTTGTGTTTTGAATTATTGAAATGTCGAATAACCTCACAGTTTATTAATACGAGGGATGTCTTTTAAGTTTTAAATATAGAAACATAGTAGGCCGCGCGGATAGAACGTCAGTACTGAATCTTAACCTCACTCTTTAGTAAACTTAAATTCAAAGTGTCACAACAATACGTGCAGTGTTCTCACTACAGTGAATGTTTAAGTGTCACCAAGTTATTAGAACAATGGAACACAACCGAGAACATTTTTGCGCCATAATGTATTACAACTTTCAGAGACAATTAATTATTGCAACAAGAATGCCTTGCTGAGTTACTGTCTGTTTTCGGCAACGAAGCGCCACATCAGTCGACAATTTCCCGTTGGTATGGAGAATTCAAACGTGGACGGGTGAGACTTAGCGACGATCCCAGGGTGGGTGCACCAAAAACGGCAGTCACCCAGGAAAACGTCGATGCTGTGCGCAAACTCATCATTGAAGATAGACATGTGACATATCGCGAGATTGAGGCGTCCTTGAAGATCTCAAAGACCTCAATTCAAAAAAATTTACATGAAGAATTAGGAGTAAGAAAATTAGTTTCTCGTTGGATACCCCACCTGTTGACTGAAGAGCAGAAAGCAGCCAGGGTTAATTGGTGTCAAAAAACGCTTGACTGTTTCGATTCCGGAAACTCAAAAAATGTGTACAGCATTGTTAGTGGTGATGAATCGTGGATTTACTGTTATGAACCAGAAAATAAACGACAGTCGGCTGTTTGGGTGTTCCAAGGTGAAGAAAAGCCAATAAAAGTCATCCGTTCTCGAAGTGTGTCGCGCCATTTGTGTCAAAAGCGGATCATAATGCAATAATTCCTCTTAATGAGCAAAGAAGTGTTACTGCGGATTGGTATACCACCATTTGTTTGCCAAAAGTCATCACCGAGCTTCGAAAAATCAACCCCGAAAGAATCATCCTCCACCGAGACAATGCAAGCTCGCACACAGCCCAAAAAACAAGGCAGTATTTAACGGAAGAAAACGTGGAATTATTGGACCATCCTCCATATAGTCCCGATCTAAGTCCTAGCGATTTCTTTACTTTCCCGAAAATTAAAAACAGCCTGCGTGGTCAAAGGTTCCAGTCACCAGAAGAAGCAGTTGACGCATTGAAAAATGCCGTTTTGGATCTGCCAGCAAACGAGTGGAATAAGTGCTTCGAAAATTGCTTCGAGCGCATGCAGATGTGTATTAATCTTCGTGGAGAATACTTCGAAAAACAATAAAGTCATTTAAAACTACCTACCGTGTTGTTTTATTTCCATATGCAAAACTTAAAAGACATCCCTCGTAATAATGGACAAAGCCGGAAAAACTGTCCTTGACTTGGTTGTCTTATGGAAGAACTCATTAGTTCCACCTTCTTCAGTAATCAGCGATCGGTTGTAGAAGAACCCAGCTTATTGGGCTGGCTACCAGGCAGCAAAATATATTTTTTCAACAAAAAAAATTGCAAGTTGTTGTCCATGAGATTCCAATTTAAATACATATGAACAGCTTTTCAAAATATATATTATGTTTATTATATCTAAAGGACCCCCTCAGTCACTCAAATGAGGAGGGCTGAGTCAATGGTTTTGGTGGGAAACAAAAATGCTCTTAGGAGCAGGATTAGATACAATATTCACCTGTAACCGTAGTTCAAATCAAGGATTCTGGTATTGCTTTTGGAGTAGTGCATGCAAAAATAACAAAAATGTTGTTTTTGCAATAACTTGTAGGTATTACGCTTATTAATAATAACAATAGAATTTATTGTCTAACAGTTACCCATCTACAGGACAATTACATGAACAAAATAAACTAATAGCCTACGACAGTGTTTGGAAATAAAATAATCAATTTAAGTACTGATAAGCCATTCTAATTACTACACTAAGATATAAACATATCGCAATGACAGTTAACTCTGTTGAGATTTTTGCACATAACATGCACAGGTGACTTGACCAAAACCTTTGTCCTTGCTCTAGATGGCGTAAAAGTGACATAATTACGCGAAGAAAACGGAGGTACATTGATATTAATTTGCGCTAGAATATCTGGGGAGTCGTTCATGCCATGTAATAAATTGGAAAGAAATACTGCAGATGAAACCTTTCTTCAGAACTCTAAGCTTTGCATTTCAAAATGCCCACACAGCTCTGCATTGCTAACTCCTTGTTCAGGATAAACTGCCCCCGACTTCATATAAAGGAATTACAGGAACCTTCTTTGAACCTTTTCAATTTCGTTTATATAAATTTGGTATAAGTGGATTATGCCTAAAATACGCATCTGAATGTGGTTTTAGACCGGATCAATTTATTATAATGGCAACAAAATCAGTGCTATCATATTTTTGTGTATATAAAAAACAGTCACTTCTAGAACATAAAATATAACGTTACGAAATGGATCCTGAAATTACAGAGATGTAAAAGCGCAGAAGATTTTGAGCTACAGATTGTGGTTGTACTTATAGCGATTTTTTACAAAACACGATTCATCAGATACAAAACTTTACGGTGAAGTGTGTATTTTTCTTCTACACGTTATAAGATTTGCAATGTGAAATCTCTCCGACTTCAGCGTGTTTACAAAGTAGAACAGATTTAGGTGTACTTGACCCCGAATGGATAATATTATGATTGTAACATTCTTCAATAGATACAATTCGTGCACAGTTCATCATATTCAAACATGGCTTTGATTTTCTGCGAATGCTACTGGTATGGAAAATATTTTCTTTCTTTTTCGGCAGGAGTCAAAGTTCTTCTGTGGTCAAATGCCCCCAGTTGTTACGTTACCGAAGCACATTCAATCACTGAGACGGAACAGACGGAATTTTTTTTTCAGGTGCGGTTTCAAAATAAATTGCACATTGACATTTCCACTTTTTCTCCTCTTTAAGGTCGCATAATTAGAATTCCAATTTGACGTTTCGTCACTTGCCCCAAATAATCAACTTTATTTTTTATTATGGACGCCATATTTTGCCCAGATGAATTTGTTTTTTAATTCTAGTTCCGAAAATTTATAAACATGTGCAACATTCACATTGTCAAACCTGAATAGGTAATTAAAAAAAACAAATATTCTAACAGCTGGCCTTTAAAATGGCATAGTTTGTTAATTTATCGATTATAACAAGAATTATTTTAGCACGCTGAATGCGCTCTACATGACACCTCAGCCATAGTTAAATGGTATTTGAATGCAAGATGTATCCATCGGTTTAGATATGGCGAATATGAAATCTGTAGCATTGTCGAAGCTTACTATACTGCTTTTTACTGTTAATGGTGAGAGTCGAATTTAAGACATTGCCCCTCTCTTACTGTTGCAAATATATAGCATAGGGCATGGTTCTTCTTTATTCTTCTGAATATGATTTTTGTCAATTCCGGGAATACTTGGAGGGACACATTTTCAAACATGAAACTCTTGTTCGTATTGTATAGACTAGTAAGAAGTCATGCTGACGTGGGCTGATGTCACTGTATTTTTCGGTTCTTCGTCGAGCCCCACCTGAGATGTATTTTGGTTCAATAAATTGAAGGAAAGGAAGATCGAGTAGAGGAAGAGCAGCTTATTTGGAATACTGCAAGTAACTTGGAATACTTAATTATCTAGCTATCTGCATTTCTTTGCCTTGAATATAACGTAGTAACATCGTATCAAAAAAAACCACAAGTACTAAAAACAGGACGCCTTCTTGACATTTTCTGCTACCAGCCACATGGGAACGAGGCGTCTACTTTGAAAACTTTTTCGGTAAGACTGCAATCATTGATAATCATTTACTTGTGATACGTCAAATCTTCATTGCACTTATTTGAACTGTTATGTACTTGTTAGTTTGCAATTTTATTTTGATTTTGTGAATATATTTAGAATTAAAAAATGACATGGAATTTTAAGTTAGGATTTCATGTTGTTAATTTGGAATAGGTACTGTGCTGAATATGCGAATTGTGGGGTTCACGCTGCTTGTAGTGGTAATGAATCCTGATTATTGTAAGAACATTAACCTAAGGACACTAAACTATAAGTTCAGGCTGAATATTGATTTGTGATTACGAGTATTGACTGATACTTAATAATTAAAAGCTATTTTCTAAAACGTATTAGTTTCTTAGAAAAAGTGTAAACAATTGTCAAAAAAAGATGATTATAATTTGGCTATATTACATGCACCCTACGCAAATTTACGCTGTTGGAGTTTTTTATTTTGATAGGGTTCCTGGTTTTTGTTTTGTTTGATTGTTTATATCATTAAATCTTAATAATTTCCAAATAATTTAATGCATTTTTTATTTTGCTATTTCCTTTATCTTGTAATTTATTTCCAAAAAACAAACCAGTATTCCAAATATACTGCAGTTCCTCTATTATTCTTCAAGAGAGAAGATCTTTTCCAACGTACGTTTTTCTTTTTGGGTCATAAATCGTTAACCAAAAACATTCATATAATATTTTAAGCATTTTTAATAATCAGTTTTGCTGAAAGGTGGATAAAGATTTAGAACAATAATTATAAAACCCAATTCAAATCCATATAGAAAAACGTCATTGCATATGGGGGCAAAATCGCTACTTGATGCGTTTTTATTTTAAAAGGATGCGGAGTATGTTGAGTGTTCGATATCAGAACGATCCTTGACCAGCTCTCACTGTACAATCAAACAGCTACTACATTTTTACCATCAGGGAAAGGCAAGTTACGGAAATCATTATACAATTGGCTGGTGGAAAAAAAACTGGTCGTCCAATGACTCAATTGTGCAAAGTGCGCAAGAGAGCGAATAACAAATTACGATCAGGCAGCCTATGGCTCTCCAGTCAATTAACTACGCGAGACATTAACGGCATCGGGGGAGAAGAGGGGGAGTTCGAAAAGGGGACAGAGGATAGGAGGGTGGGGGAGGAGGAGAGGCAACAAAAACTGCCTGCACCTGGTGCTGCGTGCATACATGCGACCGGTGTGTGTGTCGATTAGTACAGGAATCTTAGATAGATCTAAAGATGTCAATGTTGGATTTAGATGATTCACTGTAGAATTTTCAGAGTTTTCATGAGTTAATCATTCACTGGTCAATGAGGAGTTGACTATGAACGCTGTAACTGTAGATGGGCCTAGGTATGTTAATTTGAAAGGTTATGCTATAGATATTTCACAACTCATTCCCTGTAACCATGGATCAAAAATAAGCGAGATATCCACGTTCCAAACTAATTTAAAGAAACATTCCTTCTAAGGAACTCTGATGGTAAGAAAATTAACACTATAAAAAATTGATAAAAGTATATGTCCAAAATTAACAACAAATAGGAAAGAAGCAGCAAATCCTGAGCGATAAGAAAAGCCTAGGTAGGGCAAGAATTTAATGTTTCTCTAGTTTTTTAACAATGAGTGGACGATTTTTTTTCGACAATAAGTTTGGATATTGGAAATTATGTTTTTTCGATATCAAATGACATGTACAAGAAATGGCGGCTCTCTGGCTACTATAATAGTGTACCACTCCGAGGTTCGAAACGAAACGAAAGTTCCTGATCATTTTCATGAAAAAATTTGAAGGTGTTGCAAAAAACACGGTACTCATATAAACATACCTAAAAAGACTTTCGGTTCAATTTGAGTATTTTTAACACAATCATTACATTAAAATAATTTTTACGGATTTTGTGTCACAGACATTACTAACTAGCTTTGTCTGTTCGTCCTAAGCTCTTTAACGTCTTTCACATGCTGTGCTCACATTATATTAAATCATTTTTTGCGAAGTCAAATCACATTCATTTTTTGTACAAGCACGCAAATTACATAGTTTAACATGCACCACAAGATTTTTAAGTATTATACTTTCATTCATTGTCTAGTCTAGTAATTGACAAGTCCCGATTCCAGAATAAATATGGTCGGTCACAAGGCTGCCATCGCGCACCCAGCGAATAAACTTTCCGAGAATGTTGAATAATGAAATAATTACTGTTACTGCAATCACTTACGACTTCTGGGAGAGAGTTTGTACTACAACAAAAATAACGAATCGATAGCACATAATGATGGTTGGAAAAGCAAGGGTTTTTAGGACCACTAAGGTGGACTGAGGTCATTTGATAGTAATGACTACTGACACTCATGACAGGTTGCACCAAAATTTGAAAACCTTGTTGATTTTTTTCATGTAAAAACAGGATAAACAGTTAATAGATTTAGAATCATAGAACCACAGAATCCCAAAAGTGACCACAAAACCAGCAGAACTAAAATAAAAAGCTACCTTGACCATAGCATATGGACAATTCAATCACTGTCTATTTGTTGCATTTATTTCTATCTGTGACCTAAAACTCATGTTTCTATTAAATTTCAACCAACATGTATTTATAATTTGAAATTGTTTTAATTAAGCTTCACGGATTCCGGCAGCATTGCTGTATAAGGAAAACATAAATTTACGAAATTAGTCATCCGTAATTAACGGAACTCTTTTATTTCGATAACGGAAAACGAACGATTGGCTCGCTAATACTGCTCACTAAAAACTCTGCACATGCATGGGACATTGTTTTCAGGCCTTTACGAGTATTAAGTATAAAAAAAATGTGTAATAGACCCTGCAGCCTTTGAGCTCTAAATAAACAATTTTGCAATCTGCTAAAAACTCTACCTTACTTTAATTAGTATCTCAGTTGATTCCTGTACTATCTCCCACGAAACGAGTTTAACCGCCCGCCGAGAGGCTTGCTGGACGAGAACCGAGAGAGTCGGATGTTTCACGCAGAGAAGGAGGAAACATGAAATTACGCGAGTGAGAAGGATAGAGCGACTTAAGCGGGCGCCTTCAAGCTAGACGGGGTACCCGAATACGCTTTCCCAAGCCAACAGCAGCCACAGGCGATACGCAGCCACGCAGCGCCATTTTGATGCGGTGTTGCCAAGATTACCGATTACGCAGCAAAATAAGGAAAACATGCCAGGTGTTTTTATGGATGCAGTACGGGCAACGATTATCCTTCATTTTTCACGCTAAACTTCGAGAAACGCAAGAATGCAAATATCAAGTAGCACTTAGCAATGTCGGATACCATAATTTATCATAATCTGTGGTTGTGGATATCCCAAGAAGAAGAAGAATATATAATCTACTTTTTAGGTACCAATATAGATACTGAATTATTTTGGGTTCATACATAGCTGAACAATGTTCAATAACAAATTTACTGAACATACCTGATCAAAGAGATCCTAGCTACTACCTAGGTGCCTATATATACCTATTCAAGTTGTCAAGTAGACACCCCTTTTATCCATTGTTAGGAGATTCAATAGTAAGTACAGTACCTACCTACATGACAAATATTAGGACTTAGAGCTACGGGAAAGCAGTTGTTAAAATGCCCAGAGCAAACAAAGACAAATAAGCATTAAGCGATTTAGTCCTCAATGATAGGTTTGTGATCGCAGTTAAATCGTATTGAATCAATGATCTTTAGGGTTTCATAATAACAGTTGGCCACTTTTTCTATTTTAATTCATAATTTTTGTTTTGTCGATCTCTTCGTTATTAAATTTGGCAACAACGCATATGCACAAAACATCCAGCGATAGCGGGTCTGACAGCAACATTCACAACATAGCACGTGTATTTATATGCATTCCACATCTAACAGCAAACGTACCCCGCTTTTCGTTTCTGTATATCCTCTTACGAATTTTTCCGGATAAATCCTCTTCTTTTACTCACTTAAAATAGAAAATTAAAATAAAATGAAATTAAAACTGACCTTTTGGTAAAAAAACCGAATCCTCTCCGTTCCATAATATACCGCGAGAGCTACGTTCGTGACGACATTTACGATTCGAGCGAAAACAAAAAAGTAACGTCCTTTAACAAAAGAAGATCAGAGTGTCACGATTCACGTTCCGAACCCCGAACCCTTCCACGGCAAACTAGAGCTAGGTGATCGGATCGGCTGTACATCGCCCCCCTAGTGGGGGAAGGCTGCTGGACCAATGGTAAATACGCTTGCCCCACCCCGGTTGGATTGGTTCGAAAATGACGCCGACGCGGCGGCTGCCATGACTTGTGGCGGGGGAAAAGGGGCGTAGAGAGGGGGGAAAATAGCAAGGGGACCGTTGTGCGTCTGGTATGGAGACGCGGCAGGCATGAAGGATATGACGAGTAGCATTCCGATTCGCCATTTTGGATGTGGCATTTCTTGATAGGATAGAACAAACCCTACTCTTTTGTGTATACATTTGCAATGGGACAGCGTCTGTCTGGTTATTTTGTAGCACCAATCGTGTTAAGCATAGGATACAGTAGCATCAATGAACCATTGAATGTAAAAAGTACCCACCACACGGCGATGACGATTCATCCAGGATTGGACGCTCACTTACATTCTCTTATAAATTTGCTTTATAAAGGACATGGACCGGAAATTGCATCAATCGATTCAAATTCCAGTGTTCATTGAATCCTGATTTCAAGCATCCTATAAGTACACCCATGTTAAGTCATATCCGCCCCTTACTTGAAATCAGGGTACACAGAAAGGATTTTTCCTAGGTGCGAATAAGTGGAGGGGAGGGGGAAATAAAAACCATAGACATATGAGAGAAGCAAAATTTTCTTCTAAGACCCCACTAGGACAAAAGGAAAAAAGAATAAGCGTGATGTGTCTTTGACTTGAGATTCTCAATATTTTAACCTGATTGTTTCATATATAGATGAAGACATTTTTATGTCAAAAACTGTATTTTTATGATTTTTTTTATGCATTTTGTTCTACAATCGTAGCTCGTTAACAAAAAATAGTACAGCTCTGGTAATTACTTTTTATCTTATAATTTTTTTCATAAAAAAATGCCTTTCACGTCAAGTTAAAATGAGTCTTCTAGAAAAGCAGTTAACAAAAAAATACAAGTAAAACTCTGCTGTGATCTACTGAAAAGTGGAATATCTTCAAACAATTTCAGAGCTGCAGTATTAGGTATTTGTTACCAAGTTACGATTGTACAACAAATGCATAAAAGATCCGCAGAAATTCATTTTTTCCCAAACAGTTATAGTATAGGTATAGTTTTTCAGTCATCTCTATACACACCATGGAAACAATCATATAAAAAGTATTAAAGTGAAGAAACTAAAGTGCGACCTTAAGATTATTATAGATACATTATTATTATTCATCTAAACTAAATCATGTCTTAAAATGACTTTAAACATTGCATACGCCGTTTATCGATTTATGCTAATTGAGCAATAAATACTCACATGAATAAAATATATTAAAAGTCTGGTTGTTCCAATCTACATACTATTTACTAGAAATTTATGTTGGAATACTTAAGCACGCAACATCAAAAATGCTAACGATGAATATATCTAGATTATATATACACAAGGTAATTGAAGAAACAATGGCAATAATTCTAGAGCAGGAAGTAAGTACACCCAAAAATTTCATACAAAGTTGCTATATATCCTAAAATTATCGTTTTTTTTTTCTAAACGCGCAATTTTTCGGATTTTATCTTCAATTTGCACAAATAGTTACTGTGTTTTTTCCTAGACTGCATTGATTTCGTAAAAATAAAAAAACAAATTAGATAATGAAAGCTTTATTTCAATAAATGTTCAAAAAGACCACCTCCTCATGAATGATCTAATTTGTTTTATTTTTATTTTTACGAAAACAAAGAACTCTAGGAAAAAACATAAGAGTAATTACTTGTAGCAAATTGAAGGTAAAATTCGAAAAACTGCGTTAAAAAACAGTGGCGTACTATTTTTATTTGGAAAATAATGCCACTAATCCCCTGTATCTCCGCCACTGGTCCACTTTAATTTTAAGTAAAAACTTTTGAATGTGTACAATACTTAGGTAAATCCACATATCAAATTTTAGTTCATTTCAGTTAACGGTTTAACGGTTCTGAAGATATTAAGAAAAATTATTTTTAAACTTCAACACCCCGTATCTTTTTAATGAGGTCCTCGAGGATAAAATGTCACAAAGAAGACCCCCCTTAAAATGCGGCCCTGTGTATGATGTTTCATGTTTGGGCACGATTTATGAATCACCCTGTATAATTCTGAATGTCAAACTTCACCAACATTAGTGTGTTCGCAGAAATGCATTGGATCAAAGTTTCTATGGGATTTTACGTCACATTTCATATTGGAAGCAATTTTGCTTTACAAGGAATATATAGCTTGACAAAGATTTCTCAAGAAAAACTGAATGCCTTATTCATAAATGCAAAAGAAGTTAAAAAAATTAGTGACGTTGGATATAGGTTTTCTTCTGTAGGCGATGTTATACCTACGAACTTTCCGTAATATTTATGGGGGTAGTTTTCCTCCCTAGAAATATTTGACTATTTTTTTAATCAACCTGTATAAAATTAATTTTAATGTTGATCATTGTGTGAAAATGGAAAATGTACAATCATCTAGAGGTCCTTGATGATTCTACATTGGTATCGTCCCCTAACAGGTACGTGAATCTTGGTGATTACATCAGCCAAATCATAATCAAGGAAATCTATTTAGGGTTGAAAGAGTAATGGGAAATTGAACGTCAAAAAAAGGCCAACACGTTCATTGTGGCGCCTGGTGCTGCCCTCATGACTAGCGCCAGCAGTTGGTTGGCCAAATATACTCAACTCGTAACAAAAATTCTGCAGAGGAGGTAACCAAGGGAAGAGGTATGGTGACTATCTGTTTCCCTAATGTTTTAATGATACCGAGTCGTATTCGAATTTTTCACTGTCCATTATTGTAACTAAAGCATTGCACCAGGCTTGGTGTTAGGTGAGTCCATTGACCTCTAAGTATGGTTGCATGGTAAGTTTTTGTCTTTTGATGTTAACCTTAACAGCACGATGGCCCAGACGGAGTAGGTATTAGGTATTTTTTAATCATTTGGCATTGACCAGAGGCAAATTTAGAGGGAGGCGTCCCATCCCTAGACGCCCAAGCTTGCAAATTTTTTCAAGAAATTGGTATATATTGGTGAGAAAGTTACGTTTGTAGACCTGAATCTTGAAAGTATTTATTTAGTTCAATATTATATAATGAAGATCACGGATTCCTTGGAATGCCAGAAGATTCAA